TTACTCAAGTACAAGATCTGAGTACTTCTACTTTTACTCCAGTACGTAAGATCTGAGTACTTCTACTTTTACTTAAGTACAAGATCTGAGTACTTCTACTTTTACTCAAGTACAAGACTGAGTACTTCTACTTTTACTCAAGTACAAGATCTGAGTACTTCTACTTTTACTCAAGTACAAGATCTGAGTACTTCTACTTTTACTGAAGTACAAGATCTGAGTACTTCTACTTGTGCTCAAGTACAAGATCTGAGTACTTCTACTTTTACTCAAGTACAAGATCTGAGTACTTCTACTTTTACTCAAGTCTAGATGTGAGTCCTTACTCAAAGTAGAACTCAGTGGAAGTTATTGAGTGTTTACTCCTGAACTGTCTTGGTGTTGATGAGTGTTATCCCTGCCCCTACAGCAGCCCTCTGATTGGCTGGAGACCGTGGAGCGCTGGCAGGAAGCGTCTCTGTGCAGATTCACTCTGGACCGACTCTTCTCCTTCTCCGTCCTCACGGCTCGAGTGTTTGCCGTCGGGGATCCGAGTCTTCACGCCGCCACCGCCGCCCATCACGGGTGCATGTGAAGAAGAAATAAAACCAGAAAGCTTAACGATCACATTGATCCCAACCGTCTGTACAGCCGTCAGCGCTGATCCTCACACAAGTGTTCATCTTGTTCCTGCATGTATTTCCAATGGAATATATTTATTCAAAAAAAATTGTATTTATTTTTATTATTCTTATTTATTCTAGGGACTTTTTTCAAAATGTTAAACTGTTATTGCAGAAACATTTGTTTTATTTTTGTGATCTTTATTTTACATTTATTTTTGTATTGTTTAAATGTTTAGCCTTTTATTTTTTTTAAGTATACTTTTGCATCTTTTAGTTTTGCAAAAATCAACTTTTTTAAATTAATTAATTTACATTTTTGTGACTTTTATTAGTTTTCTTTTCAACATTATATTATATATTGTCCTGAAACAAATATCATATGTGTGATATTACCTTTTATAAATGAACCTTGATTGCTGGATTGATTATAACATGATAATTAATATAAAAATATTTATTCTAATCGTATTTATTTATTGATATTTATTGTTTTTTAATGCAAAATAAATTCACTTTTCAAACAATGGCTTCTCCTCGTCATGTGCTTCTGCCTCACAAAGCCTGCTCTCAGGAAAGTTATGAAGTTACCTTTTGCTCTGAGCCCATGACATTTCCAAAAAGCATTCAGAGAGAAACACAGGCATGCAGGAGGAAGCTGTGCTTTCCTGAAACTCTCCTGCAGATCCTCGCTCTCTGCAGAGCTTCCTCGTCGGCGTGATGGTGCAATACTCCGGGAGAGACTCCATGCAAAACAGGAAGGTGTCACGTTCAAAAGAGGAAGAGGAAGCAGCCGTGACCGAGGAGGAAGGTACAGGGTTGCTCAACGAGGAAGTTGGTGACTCAATAATATCCAGCGTTTATTCATGCTGTCTGCGGGGGAAAACTCCCAGAGTGCACTGCTCACTTCTGCAGCTGTCAGCATGAACACAGAGTTTCTGACTTTACAAGAAGAGGATGATGATGATAAATAATTATAATAAAGCTTTATTTATGCAGCACTTTTCAAACAGCACATGCAGCTCAAAGCACTTTAAAAAATGACACATCACGAGTTAAAAATACACAACAAGGAATTCCCCTCAGATTATTTGTTAAGAACTTTAAAAGGTGCATGCAGCAACAAGTAACACTTGATCAGGTTAAGAGACACAAGGAGGTCCAAGCAGGTATGATATACAGATAAAATAAATAAACATGATGACGATGATGATGATGATGATGATGATGTAATCCTTTATTATCCCCCAGAGACGACACAGTAGGAAACACCAAGCTGGAGAATGAAAACAGATATTACAGGTCATCAGTTTTTCAATAAACAATACACATGAATATGAGCTGACTCAGGATCAGATTGTGATCCGGACTTCCTCAGGACGTCCCGCGTGTGAACCTGTGATGTCACTTCCTTGTTGTGATTTCTCTGCACACGGATCATCGTACAGGAAATACTCTGTCTGTTTGTTTTGTTTTGCATTCCTCCATTAGTCATCCTCCGTCACACAGGTCACACACCATGTTATGCAGCTCATGTCCTAAATGTAGGTGGATGTCTTTAACCCTTTCAAAACACAAGATATGTAATGAATACTTTGAATATTAAAGACTAAAGAAATAGATTTTTAAAGATAATGAAAGAATGGGGGTCATTTTGTCCCTGAGAAGGGTCGTGATACAAACATGATTTGTATTCTAAAAAAAACCCCTCTTTAATGGTCTCACATGCAGAGCACAGAGCACACATGTGTTCTCTGCTTTTAACACATCCTAGCACCAGGAGTCTAGTACCAGGAGTCTAGAACCGGGAGTCTAGTACCGGGAGTCTAGTAGGCCTACCAGGAGTCTAGCACCGGGAGTCTAGCACCGGGAGTCTAGCACCGGCAAACTAGCACCGGGAGTCTAGTACCGGAGTCTAGCACCGGGAGTCTAGCACCGGCAAACTAGCACCGGGAGTGTAGCACCGGGAGTCTAGCACCGGGAAACTAGCACCGGGAGTCTAGCACCGGGAGTCTAGTAGGAGTCTAGCACCGGGAGTCTAGCACCGGGAGTCTAGCACCAGGAGTCTAGTACCGTCTAGCACCGGGAGTCTAGAAACGGGAGACTAGCACCGGGAGTCTAGCACCGGGAGTGTAGCACCGGGAGTCTAGCACCGGGAGTCTAGCACCAGGAGTCTAGGACCAGGGTGTCCGGTGCCTTGCTCAAGGGCACCACGGCAGGGCCAGGAGGTGAACTGGGACCTCTCCAAGTAGCAGTCCACACTCCATATTTAGGTCTGGTCGGGGACTTGAACCGGCGACCCTACGGCACACAATCCAAGCCCCTACTGACTGAGCCACTGCCGGACTGGTCACTGTGTCCCATGTTGTGCAACAAAGGGTTAATCTTCCTTTTTCATTCTGTTCTCTTGATGATAAAGCAGTAAACGGAGTTAAAAAACACAAAGTCAACCAAAGAAAAGAGATACCGTTTCCAACCATCCCGTATACAAAACACAACAAGAGGATAATCATCAAAATACACTGAAAGTATTCCAAGTAAAAGTACTATCTGAGCAGGATTCAATATTTAATATTCCTGGGTTCTTTGTACTGATGTATTAAAACACTGTGAAAGGACTTTCAATATTTTAGATTGTGGAGATAAAGCTCCTGTAGCATCTCAGATTCAGAGTTAGCGTTATATCTCTAGGTTTTATTGGTGCTTACAAAAACACAGGGACATAAATCAAGATATGAAATAACAGCAAATATAGAAATAATTAAACAAATATTGTAGGAACATTTATTATAAAATCATGTGTACAAAAAATATGAATAAACAAAAGAGGAAATTGCTGATCAAATAAATACTAAAGGCTTTTAAATCTTATTTTATGAACACATATAGAATAATTATAAAATGTATTGTAAAATGAATATTAAATAAATAATAATATATTTTAAATAATAATTCTACATTTGCTATTTTTATCCAAAACCTATAATAAGAAGGTATATTTCATATATATATTTTTTAAATCTATTTAATATTTAATGTAATGGCATCACCTCTCCAACACCAATCAATCCAATAACACACAATTCTCCCTTCTGTTGGTAAACAGTATGGACAGTCACGAGTGGATACGGTATTTTTTTGCACCAGTTTGTGTGCTTTTAAAGGTTTTTGGACAATAATGGAGCTCAGTGGCTCAGAGGGAAGTGAAGTCAGACTTTGACAGAACTTGGTATTAAGAATAATGAATACAAAAACTACAGAATGCCACCACACATGTACTTTAAGTACTTTCCACCTCTGGTGTCAAACCACTTCTGTACCAACCAATCACACAAAAAACACAAACACACTCAGTCTGCCTTTACTGAACTCAAGTGCGCTTTTAATGAACTCATATTAAATGTCATGCATCATTTTACTTCAGAGGAGGACAAATATTGTGCTTTTTACTCAGATATATTAATTGGCTGCCTTGGCTTAGTTACTTTGCATATGCATATTTAAAATCCTACAATGAGTAAATAAAAAAATACAAAGTTAAACCGACCAAAAGATCAAACAAATATATATACAGTAATTAGCTGATTACAGCCAGCTACAGCATTAACATGACATCTAACTGAATCAATAATAATAATATATACTACAATAAATTAGCTAATTTGGCGTGGTGCATAGTGAGCAGTGGTGGAAAGTAACTCCGTACATGTACTCATTTAAGTACAGATTTCAGGTACTTTTACTATACCAGAGTATGTTTAATGTATATTACTTTACACTTCTATTTGACTACATTTCGGAAGCAATTATTTAACTTTTTATTAGATTTATTTACTATTACTCTTTAAATTCAGATTTTGACACACAATACTGTAGGAAACACTTTTTAGTGTAGGTGAGTCAAACCATCCAACCAACCACGAGTGTGTTAACAGAACATTTATTTGTAGCAATTAAAAATATTTGTGAAGAAAGAAGTTAAGTTATTCTTTGAGTTTTTCCTGCAATGAGTACTTTTAAGATAAGATGAGATAGGATAATGCAATCTTAATGAGTACTTTTACTGCTAATACTTTAAGTACATTTTCCCAATCGTACTTAAATACTTATACTTAAGTACCATTATCAATGCAGTACTTTTACTTGAAATGGAGTATTTTTACATCGTGGTATTAGTACTTTTACTCAAGAATCTGAATACTAATAATAGTAATAAGGAAGTAATATATTTTTTATTCTGTTATTAGTGTTGTTAATAAATAAAGGTTACAGTAATTAACAGTCATGTCATATTAAAAGTGTTTTTATATTTTCTGGGGAACGAGTGACTTTCTTGGGTGTCAGTGAGATCGACCCCTCCCTTGCTCCCCTGCCGCTGATGGTGAGGGTTTTCCGGCTGCAGGTCTGACGGATGCCCGCTGATTCTGCTGCGGAGGGACCAGGGGGGCGGGGTTAAAGAGAAACAAGGAGTTTCCTGGTGAGCTACGACAACACAGGAAGGTAAAGTTGGCTCCGGTGAAATGTAAAGTTTTTAACCCATAAAGGCCGCTCCGGAGGGGTTAGTTTATCTCGATTTAACAGAATATTTTAACCCACAGCAGTGACACAAATCCGGGGAAACTTTAAGCTAAAAGTATGTCAACCTGAAGGTAGCAGAGAAACTGTTAGCTTAGCATGCTAACGTTATGGTCTCTAAAAGCTAATTATAAAGCAGAAAGTTAAATATGTTGGACTTTATTTGCACCCTTATTGTTTAGTTCCCGTGTTTTACTGAAGAATTAAACATTGTTGATGCTTTATTTTAGTTGTTATCGCCTGTTTGTGGGTTGCGGCTACATGTAGCATTTAGGGCGCTTGTTTTACTGAAAAGGGACAACTCCGGCGGGTGGTGTTGATTTTTGTATTGAGTAATCATTATAAACACAAACACTCACAAGTTCCCAAACCCTAGAGAAATAGGGATAAAGAAGTTCAAAATTATAATAAAATGACTCATAATCACTAAATAAGTAAAAGTAGGAACATATAAATTAACTTTAGTTTGATTATCTTAACAATTTTTTTATTAAAATAGTTATTTTAAGACATTTTAGAGCTTTTTTACTAGTTTTATTTCTTTGATAATTAAATATATTCGACTGTTTTTAGGAGCGTGGCCTGCCTTGGATCAAGCAGACGTTTTACAGAAGTATAAGGAAATCAATTAATGTATAATAAGCAGCTTTTCTGATTAATAAACATGTCGCTTTTAATTACGTGCATCTTAACCGCTTCTAAACACTGAAAAAGGGGACGTTAAATCGTTTTATTTAGACTTAGCTTTGAAGAAGTGCAGTCAAATGACTTCTAAACACGGCAAAGGGGAATTACACCCATATGTTAGATACGTTTTTTAAAGAAAAGCTTTAAAATGAACCCAAAACAATGAAAAAAGCTAAATCACAAACAGGAAATGTGACTGCAGTTGCTCGACCATATCTATATTTATGCAGTGGGTTCTGCTATGGTGAAATTAAATAAGTAATGTTCATTGTAATCTCTTTAAATGTGACTCTCGCCCTAACACACCCCACATAAGCTACAGTGTATAACTAAATGTGTGTGTGTTTCAGATGAACGTGGGCGTGGCTCACAGCGAGGTGAACCCCAACACTCGGGTGATGAACAGCCGGGGCATCTGGCTCACCTACCTGCTGCTGACCGTGGTTCTGCACATCGTCCTGCTCAGCATCCCCTTCTTCACCGTGCCGCTGGTGTGGACGCTCACCAACGTCATCCACAACCTGGTCAGAAACATCCTTATACATAATTTAATACACACAAAGAAATATAACACCACAATACATCATTTAATACATATTAGAAACATATAGACCCTACCTTTTAGGGAGGGGCAAACTGATATTAGCCAAAAATAATATTGAGAAGTTTGATTTTACTTTATTTATTGCCCGTTATTGTGTTTCCGGTGCAGGTGATGTACCTGTTCATGCACACGGTGAAAGGAACTCCCTTTGAGACTCCAGATCAGGGAAAAGCTCGACTCCTCACTCACTGGGAGCAGATGGACTACGGAGTTCAGTTCACTTCCTCTCGCAAATTCCTCACCATCTCACCTATCGTTCTGTGAGTATATCAGTATGTAGTGTCTCTACTTTAAAGAGTCCTCTCCTGCTGATGTTCAGGTGTATATCAGTATGTAGTGTCTCTACTTTAAAGAGTCCTCTCCTGCTGATGTTCAGGTGTATATCAGTATGTAGTGTCTCTACTTTAAAGAGTCCTCTCCTGCTGATGTTCAGGTGTATATCAGTATGTAGTGTCTCTACTTTAAAGAGTCCTCTCCTGCTGATGTTCAGGTGTATATCAGTATGTAGTGTCTCTACTTTAAAGAGTCCTCTCCTGCTGATGTTCAGGTGTATATCAGTATGTAGTGTCTCTACTTTAAAGAGTCCTCTCCTGCTGATGTTCAGGTGTATATCAGTATGTAGTGTCTCTACTTTAAAGAGTCCTCTCCTGCTGATGTTCAGGTGTATATCAGTATGTAGTGTCTCCACTTTAAAGAGTCCTCTCTCTCTCTGCAGGTATATCCTCGCCAGCTTCTACACGAAATACGACTCGACGCATTTCCTGATCAACACGAGTTCTCTTCTCACCGTGTTGCTTCCCAAACTGCCTCAATTCCACGGCGTTCGGATATTTGGGATCAACAAATACTGACGGGAGTTTTGGCACCAACGCCCCGGGGACTGTTTTTTCTGTTTCTGCTGAACTTTTTTATAATGTCTGGAGGGTTTCCTGTACAGACTGTGTGGAGTATGATGAAAACAAGAGTAAATGCACTGCTGCTGTTCTATGAAAGTAAGTCTTCTCTTTACTGACACTCCTGATGTTTGTCCGCAATCTGGCTGCAAAGAAAAAAGCGAATTAGAGATTGAATTGAGATTTACTTCCTGTTACAAACGGCACTGGCTGCACGTCTGTAAAGTTAAACGCTCCTAAATGTGAAGGAGGTCTTCTTCACCTTCAGATTAGTTTTTATTTTAACGCTTTCTTCTTGATTTACTATGAAGGATTTACACGCAGCGTGCATTTACACGACTAACACCGCTTTCACACGCACTCCCATGTCAGTTCCTGTTCTCTGTTGAAGATGTATGTTTTTTCTTGCTTATAAAATGAAGAGTGAAAAAAAACGCTGAGACTTTTATTATTAATAATTCATCGTAACGTCTGTATCATGTCAGAGAGAAGAGACTAGGACGGCACCTGAACATCAACAGGAGAGGACTCTTTAAAGTAGAGACACTACATACTGATATACACCTGAACATCAGCAGGAGAGGACTCTTTAAAGTAGAGACACTACATACTGATATACACCTGAACATCAGCAGGAGAGGACTCTTTAAAGTAGAGACACTACATACTGATATACACCTGAACATCAGCAGGAGAGGACTCTTTAAAGTAGAGACACTACATACTGATATACACCTGAACATCAGCAGGAGAGGACTCTTTAAAGTAGAGACACTACATACTGATATACACCTGAACATCAGCAGGAGAGGACTCTTTAAAGTAGAGACACTACATACTGATATACACCTCAACATCAGCAGGAGAGGACTCTTTAAAGTA